TGCTAACTAAAAAAAAAAAAAAAAAAAAAAGCCGACGAATCTACATATAGAACATTTGTACTAGTGATTGAAAAATTTATCGCTATACTTCTTAAATACATATGGCATAGGAAAACTATGTTCTATTTATAAAACATAATTTGTTAATAAACAATGAGCATTTAAAAATTATTCAGGTTCTTGGTAAGACCAATGTTATTTGAGAGGCTTCGCTTAAGGAAATTTTATCGAAAAAATAATATTTATATCCTAATTTGTATTTCTTACCTAAACCAAAGCATGCTCCTCGTGAGAAAATGCATATTTGCATAAATATAGTACGAACGTCACTTGGATAATGTAACTGGGATGTAACGGATGGCTCTCGCATTAATATTGCCGCAACTTCGGTAATCTCATGCCATCCTTTAATCTTGATTTTATAATATTTGTTAACGCAAATCAGTCAGTTATCCTAAATTACACTGATAAATAAGACTGAATTTATCTGAACACAGTAATAACATTACTTTAATAGATTTGATTACCAAATGAATTTTGGTTTATTTGATTAGCTATTTTAGAACGTTTGGTTTTAGTTTATTTTATTAGCTATTTTAGAACGTAATGAATTTCAATCAACTTTATAATATAATTTGATAATGTAATTCCATTTATCTTGGAAGAAATAATGCACTTTGAATACTTACGACATCCAGCAATGTAGTAGTCACAATGCTTGACTGGTCAACGTCGATGTCCATCTCGATAGGTCTCTGCAATAATATAATATAATAAACTTTCATTGTGACACTCTTTAGATATAATCAGGCGGTAATATGAAATAATAAAATATCTCATAATAATGATTAGAAGAATCGTCTTGATTATATACGATTATATACGATCATTTACCAGTAGTAGATTTACGAATAGAAATTTAATCTACAAACAAGTTTCTAGATGCTGTTACAGAATTTTTTATTTTTTCTCTCTCTCTTAACAGTTTTATTTGCTAAATCTAAACTATATTTATAATATTAATATTATATTAATGTAAGTATTTAGAATATGTTCTTAATGTTGAAACTTAATGCAATGCGTATACGCAAAAGTACACACTAAATGCGTCAAAAAAAAAAAGTTTAAAGAAAAAGATAAATAGTAAAAGATATAAAGCTTCTGTATACTAAATAGCTTCTATATACTAAAAATAAAAAAAGACAGAATAAAAAAAGGTAATAAAGTTTCTCTTTTTCGATTCGTACTGAAGTGGATTTGTCAAATTGATTCAATTCAGGTTCGTCAAATTCCATCTTTTTCGATATTCCTGTTGTTCGTTGTTGCGGACCAAAAGTTTCAGAATCATACAATTCATATCGTACTCCGTGATAAGAAGAACGCTCACGAACTAACATATGCTCGATAAGACGACATTTGCCACTTAAAATGAAATGCACATAATTCACCATGCCTGTTCCATCGCCTAACAAAACCTTTTAAATTAATTCACATATGTTATATTTTTTATATATCTTATTATGAAATTATGAAATGTGTTATTTCTTCAATAATGTTAAATAATCGAAACCTAATTACATAATTATTAGATCGCTAGATAATGTACCTCGTCAGGCTTAAAATCTTTCAGTTTACTCAGGATGCAACACTCTCGTATCGTCACTTCGTCCCACATCTTAAAATAATCGAAATGAACTAACGCGTCGCGAAGAACATCCCACTGTTTTGTCAAACTGTCACGCAAGATGCTATCAAAATCGTCTCGAGTAATTAGAAGCAAATCAACTGATGCTATAAATAATCATAAATCACAGTAAAAATCTCAATAAAAAGAAATGAATATCTTATCATTTTCATTATTTGTTTCTACTAACTTTTAGTAATTATCGTTGATGTTCTCGGTATCGTGTGCAATAATGCAACTTCACCAAACATATCCTTTGGTTGCATGATCCCTATATCTATAACTTTTTCGTCACCTAATACGAAGTATTATCATATTACGCAACTTTTTACATTAAATTACATGATATTTTCTTTAAAAATGATCTTTCAAAACAAATAAATTGTTATAGAAAGTTAAATTTAGCGAAAAGATAATAATATATCAAAAGATCAATAAATATATCGAATTTTATCGGATATTTTAAACTAAATTCTAATATATTAAACATTTTATATATTTTTAGCAAACTTTTTATTTAATATCCGATATAAAATTTTTCCAATGATTTAACCGAATCTTATTGCGCTCAAAAATATGTAAAAATTCATAATGCTATCTTCTCACCTGTTAATTCGTCAATCACTACCTTTGACAGATTAATCTCGCCATTTACAATAAAATAAAGATTTTCCGCTCTACGATTCTGACGAACAATCACCCGGCCAGCCGGTAAATACTGATAAAGACACACAGCTGCAATATTTTTTTTACTTCCTCGGTATGCTTCGTGAATGCGCGGAACTTTCTCATAAGATCATATATGTATGCTTTGTCCTCAGAAGATCTTTCAGAGGGTCTTATTAATAGCATCGATCGGTCCTTAAATCAACGATAGATTTTGTATTCGATTACATGTTATAAAACATTAATTCTTTATTTATATTTATTTGTATTAAATACCTTTAATGTGAGTAGCTTTTTTTCTACTTTGTGTCTCTGTTGAGCCATTCTGATATTAATCGTTACGTCATCGCTAATTTCTTCAATTACTGGTTCTTCCGCTATCCATTCCATATATTCCAAAACACGTCGCACCGCCGATCGAAACAAATAACGGCCTTTTAATCTATCGATCTAAGTAAAAATAAAATTATATCTTTCTCTATTTCTCGTTCACATAGTATTTCATTAGTAAATTATAATATTGAATCTTTTTAAACAAGAATATAATTTCTGTTATATAAACATATTAATCATTTCACTATATACATAAACATAAACTAAATTATAGTATAATAATATAATATAAATAAATATAATATAAATAGTAATAATAATATATCAAATATAAATTATAATTGATATTCAGGATTGTGCAAAAGGGACTATAATGCAAAAATAAAGAGAGATTTATTCAGAAATTCAATAATTTACTTTAAATAACAGAAATTTAGAAAGATAAAAAAAATGTAATCAAAACTGACTGTACTGATGTTATCAGTACATTATAGTACAAAATAATTGGTATAATTTATGATCAATTATGATCAATGCAAATAAAAAATAGTTACATTTTAACAAATTTCGAAATCTATTATATAAGGAGTACTCGATACAGTGTACTCTTTGATTATTTGCACAGTTCTGATAATATAATTTTTTTTGTTAGCAAAGATTATCTATGCATTTTCATTAAAAAACAAGTAAAAGTATTTAAAAATATTTTATATAAAATAAACATTTATACATATTGATATATAAATACAAGTTTTTGTTATTGTTATGCATGCGATAATTGATTTTCTAAATAATTAAAAGATTTTCTACTAGAAGATCTTATAAATAAAAGTTAGTTCCTTGAAACAAAAAATTCAGCTTTGTATATTTCACATCACATATATTAGAGTTGTAATTATTATTCCGAAACTATTCTCTAAAACATTATCTACTAAATCATCGTAACTAAACATTTTCTTCTTACCCTAACTAGTGGCTTTTTTGGTATTAATTTGTATCCAAGCGATTGACGCAAAGTACTTCTTCTTGCCTTATATACGGACATTGCTAAAAAAAAAAAAAAAAATACGAAATTTATCGTATATAAATTTTTAAGATTAAATTTCTTTACTTTTACAAGTATATGTCTAAATCACATACTGACGTTAACTGAAGGAATCGTTTGATCGATCGCATGGACGTAACATCGTTGTTATCAATAACTATCACTAATAACATATTCGATTTATTGATCCCGAGTCAAAGTATGAGAAAAAGAGAAAGAAAAAAAATGACACATAGAAAAAGAAGAAGAAAAAGGACAGAATCGACTTGAATCCAAAATAACTAATAAGTATCGACACTGCGTCGGTATCTTTGATCTGTGTCTTATATCACGTGACCATTCCGCCATATTAATAAATGAAAAAGCAGGGACGAATATAGTAAATCCATCGATGAGATACTGTATAATTAAATATATTAGGATCACTTTCATCAACTCCGGTTAATTTAATCGGCCGATTATTCTATTGGAATTGACCAATTACAATTTACCTACAGAATTAACAACAAATGGATTAGTCAACTCCAATGAAATAATCGGCTGATTACATTAATCGGAGTTGATAAAAATGATTCGTAATGAAATAATATTAATTTATTAGTTTATTATTATTCCAATATTTTTTAGACAAATATATATAACATATATAACATATAAATATATATAACAGACAAACATATTTATAACTTGCTTGTATTCAATTTCATTTGATATTTGCAATTTTATAATAACCATCTGTATTTATTATCCGTACTTATTATATCTATACTGATTATCTACAAAGATAACTATAGAAAAAAAATTATAAAAAATTATAGAAGCAATATATAGTAATGATGACTTATTTATGATTTACATTTGTCATTATTATCATAAATAATCATGAATTTAATAATTTGTTATTTAGACATTTATGTTAAAGATCATATTTTAATTTATATCAATGGTTGATAATATCGATACTCTTATCTCCATGCCTCCATTTTGATGATCATAAAAATTTCTCCAGAATTGACGATCCTTTCATTGGTGATACTGCATATTTACGTTCCTACTGTTAAATTTAATTTCATTGGAAGCGCCTAATAACATGGCCTGCGCAAGTGAATCTGCGCAAATTTTCGTTCTATCATGGAGTATTCATTCTATGATATACTGGGGTGCGTTCAGAGATAATGCTCGAACGCCTCTGGGTCATTTTAGGTCCTTGTTTAACTTTTAATGAACAACAAGGATAAACGATATATCCGATGTTCTGAAATAGCTATGTGCAACAAACTTCACTTGGGGTGCATGTCATTTTTGGAGAAACATTGAAAATCGTTGTTCTTGCGTCTTGCGATTCTCGAGAATCTTAAACATTTCTGACACTTCGTTTTAACATTTTCTCAGTGTGATTAGATTTTGAAGTGAGACAAAATGGTAATAATCGATTATATTCTTCCAAACGATATATTCCTACACAATTCAGTTGTCAGTTTTAAAACTGTTTTGTACAAGTATGTAGGTTATGTTAAGAATGACAGTCCATTTCGACTGTTTATTCTATTATAAATTTATTTATAATTATTTATAAATAAATTATTTATTTCTATATTCTATTATAAATTATATCAGATTGTTAATAATGCATCGCAATAACATTGACAATCAAACAACAAGCGTGTTTTACTTTGCTGCAATAATTGTTGTATGCACTTCTCATATTAGCTTTTACTTACTATTTTTGTATGAACAGGAAACTTGATTTGACACAAAATGATTTACTTGAATTGTAATTTGTAACAATTGTAGAGTTTTGGATTGCCTTCGATTGTACCTAAACCTACTGTACCTGAGCAATTCGATATTAAAAACGGAACCAACTATGATCTACCCAATCCTATGGTGTCAGGGTATGAAAATTTAATCAAGCAATTCTTTTCCAAAAATTAATTTATAGGAATTAGTTGGTCATTAGAATAATTTCGATTTAAGTCAATATTGTCAATACAATCTGTTCTATATTCTTTTCCTGTAAAACAAAACTATTCAGTTTTAAGATAACATTTTTATCTATTTAGTCTGTCAGCAACCAGACAGAGCGTTGGTTATGTACACCCCTTGGAAGCTTCGGAAAGAAATGTAAGATTTATTATATATTATATTAATATGGATAATTTGGGAGTAGTAAATTATCCCATTTATTTTCAGTATCAAAAGAATCAAGAACGCATGAACATGATACTGCTTAGGAATACACAAGGCTTGCATGCGCCGCTGCGTATAGCAATGGAATTGAAAGCTGCTGAGAAGATTGGAAGACTTCCGTTTTTGCCATCATCTAATATAATGAAAAATGTTTTACTTGGACACGATCAAGATATAGGGTATTTATAACAATTATTATTGTACCGACAAATCTATATCAGACAATTCTTATATTTATTTATATATTGTTGCTATCTTTATAGATTTGAAGATATTTTCAATACTCCCGAGTTCAGAGAACAAATGGGACAGCCACATGCCGTTATAGAAAATCATCTTGGAATATTGTAAAGAGATTAAGCTCATAAAAATTACATTTTTTTTTTTAATGAAAAATGTAAATTTATATAAATTTAATGATAACTATTAATATTGTGTATAATTTTTATAAGTTAAATGTATTTTCTCTGATAATACTTCAGTAATAGAAAATTAGATGTCAGATGCAAAAATTTAATACATATATTCAATAAAAGTAATCGATATGTTTACTATAAGAGCATTCACTTAAGAGAAATATAATAGTAACAGAATATATATTTGTCATCGCATTCCTTGCAAAGATAATAATTTATATCTGATTTTTTTAATCAATGCTCCACGTACCACAATTGTAAGTTCATACCATGTACATTTTGCATCATTTATTTTGACGTATTCTGACGTATTTGTAACTTACACACATATACCAGAATATATGTATCACTTTTCACTTGTCGTAACAAAATGGCCGCAACGAACATTATCTGAAATATCAACACTCGATTCGCAATCCAGATAATTTTCGAGACTTGATATTGCGTCATCGCGTTAAATGACAGATCTTTTTCGCAATACTGTTTAGCAACAAGATCAATTCGCTCAGTCAAATCTAATGATAAAAAGGATCTTACCGATTACCGATTGACGTTTTTTCTTCTAAATCACGTTTCGATTAGTGGAAATATTTGAAAATAGAAAAAAAATAGAAAAAATTCGCGGGAAAGGGAATCGGCATTTCTTTTTGAATCTCTAACCTCTAAGTGATTCCAACGGACTCGCAATTAGCTTCGCTGCCAGCTAGTATTATCGATGAGAACGACGACGATGACTCCTGCCTGGATAAAGATCCTGGACGGCGGTTTCTCCGGGCAGTTGTCGCGGCACGTGGGCGCGAAAATAGACGGCGATCCGCTGTGGACCGCGCGATTTCTCGCAACCGATCCCGATGCCGTCTACGCCACGCACTTGGACTTTCTACGTGCCGGCGCCGATGTTATCGAGACGAATACCTACCAGGCGTCCCTGCCCGGCTTGATGAAGCATCTGAATGTGAGTGAACGCGAGAGTCTAGACTTGCTTGCCAAGGCTGTATCCTTGGCTAAGAAAGCCGTGGACGATTACGTTCGAGAAGACGCAAGCGACTCTGAGCGACGACGCGTCGACAGGCCTATGATCGCCGGCTCCTGCGGCCCTTACGGCGCTTACCTGCATGACGCGTCAGAGTATACCGGCTTCTACGGAAAGTCTGTGTCCAGACGGGATTTGATGGATTGGCACAGACCACGTATCAAGGCGCTATTAGATGCCGGCGTAGACCTATTGGCTTTGGAGACTATACCCTGCGTCGAGGAAGCGGAAGCCTTGCTGGAGCTGTTGCGGGAATATCCGCACGCTCGCGCTTGGCTCTCGTTTTCCTGCCGGGACGGTCAGTTCATATCGGATGGTAGCCTATTTCGAGAAGTGGCCGTACGTTGTTATCGCACATCACCGTCGCAGATCGTCGCGGTTGGCGTCAACTGCATCGATCCGAAGCACGTTGCTCCGTTGCTGAAGGATATCAATGCTAGCGCATCATCGGAGCAGGATTCTGTGCCCCTGATAGTATATCCCAACAGAGGCGGTAGCTATTCCGCGACCAGTGGATGGACCGCCGTTCCAGACGATCAGTCTCTGAATCTGCCTATATCGGAATGGTTGGACATGGGAGTTCGTTACATCGGCGGTTGCTGCAAGATTTTTGCAGAAGACATTAAGACGATCCGTTCGGAAGTGGATCGGTGTCACCGGTGTGAATAACGTGACTCTTTTTACAGTGGCATCACTGGTCGTGATGCAGCAGTTTCCACACTTCTAAAATACGAATTGTGTAGACATCTACGGTCAATGATCGGTGATTCAATAATATTTATATTCCATAATTATTGCTGAATATGTGGGCAAATCTCAATATGTTAAGTCATGGATAATGAGTAATTGTAAAATGCATTAGTTGTTTACTTACATTGTTGTCAATTTTTATATTGAAATTTCTACAATTTATCTTTATTGTTTATTTCTATATGCTTTTAATATATTGGTACAATATTTCTTATATTTCTATATATTAAAAAATAAAAAAATATTTTTCTACATGTATCGCTTGAAATTACTGTTTTTATCTCTTCTTATTAATATAAATATTGTTATCTATATTTTATACAGAAATCTTTTTAAATAAAAATATATAAAATGTTGATGTATTATCAAATCGTTATCAAAATTGATAATTACTTATTAGTAGTAAAAACAGTAATCATAAGAAAAAAAAGCTCTTTTAATATTATTTCATATATTTTCGATGATTGATCGAAATTGCATTCTGAACTTATGTTTGATTTGTGATTTTCTAAACTTATATTTGATTTGCGAGATCAAGTGATCAATTCGAAGATAAATATTTCTATGGACATATAACTAAAAATAATGTCTTATTGATATTCTTATTTTTTCCCAAATATATTTCATAAATATATTGTTAGCATATATTGTTAGTCTTTTCATAAATATATTGTTAGCAACTGATATTTATATACTGTGTATGACATGATGATCTAAAGCATACAAATGATATGTAATTCAAGGAAAAACAAAACTATAATCTAGTTGATTTATTGTTTACACATCATTATGTCATGTGATGTCAGATGTTTATTTTCAAATATATATATATATATATATATATATATATATATATAATAAAAACTGTATGTAAACTCGCCCATCAAAACATCTATTACTGTGAGACACATCTTGGGATCAAGGTATGTACCATATATTTGTATTTATTACAGTCAGATTTTCATATATTTATATCAGTCAAGATATTGAGATTTCAAAAAATTTTTGTAAAATTAAAAAACTGAATTATAATAAAGATAAAAGTGTTAGATGATGATTCCATATAACTGTCTATTTACATATATAATAGTATATATAATATATAATAGCATGTATAATAGTATAAATAGTACTGTTTAATTTTCTAGAAATTTATCAATATATATTAAATATTCGCCTATCAAGTATGTGTTACCGGCAACGTTGACTTCAACATTTTTTGTTTCTGCGTTAATATTAAATTCGGAATTCAGCGGAATCTCAGTTTTATTCTTTAAAATATTTTCTGCTACTGGTCTAATTCTTGGTCCCAGAATCGGATCATCATACCGATATAATATAATCGAAGCAGGATCTAAATAAAAAAAATACATAAATATAAAAATATATATTTAAGCTGTATTGCAAACTAATTTACTAATTGTATAAAAATTTTCACATACCTTTTATATGTTTATTTTGCTTTACAATATAAGATATGATATCCTTAGCTGTTATGGTCGAAATTTCCATAGACAGTTCAAATAAACTGCTACAACTTTGTGGATTAATAAGACGTACCGAAACTACAGGTTTTATAAAAAAATTGATATACGGTGCACCTGGACAGCACTCTTCCTTCGTTTTTTCTGGCGCTTCGTCCGTATATTTTATAATAATATCATGAAGCTAATAATAAAATAAACAAATAAATAAAAATATAGTAGATAATTTATATGCAAAGGCAAAATGAAAATTAAATGATATCTGCTTACACCTAATGTACTTTTAAGATATTCTTTGTTATCTTCAAGTACATTAAATTCATTGAAATCAAGAGTCAAATTCAATGCATTAAGACCAGTAGTTTCCATTTTTTCTCTGACGAGTTGCACGAATGGCATTACTCTTTTCATATATTTTTTTAACTCAGCTTTGTTGGTAAACGCTGTAGAGAGTACTTTATTGTCTGGTAATTTAGTTTCATTTTTCTATAGTGTGAAAACATTAATGTATAAGAAAAACGAAAAATGAAAACATTAATGTATAAGAAAAATTAATTGCGAATAAAATTACTACTACTACTTACAGAATACATTTCCCTCATTGTCGTAAGAACAATACTTTGCCAAGGAGGATAAGTCTTGGCTACCCAAATAATCCCTTGATTAGGTTTTTCTGTGTTGGTAACGTTGTCCTTTCCCTTAGTTTTTTTCGGTGTCATGTAATTTTTTAATAGAACTCTAAATGTATGAGCAGCATCCATTAGATACTGAGACGATTTGATCAAAATTTCATCTATTTCTCCTATTGTAGGCCATCTTGCATTAAATATACTGCTATTCTAATCACATGGTTAATTGTACAAATTATGTTGTAAAAAAACTATAAAAATATTTATGTTTGTGATGAAAAAAAAAAAACTTACTTTCATAAGTAAATCTGTCCATATATATTCGCAAACATGTGGACAAATAGGAGATAAAAGAATTATTTGAATTTCTATATATTTTTTAATTAAATTCAGGTTAGCTATTGGACTTAATTGTAAATATTTATCTCTGGCTGTTTGAAATTCATAAAATCCTGTCCTCAATGCTTCTTTGTAAAGCATTTTTGAATAATTTTCACCAGTTTCCCGTATTTTCAAATTTATTTCGCTATATTAAATAAACGCATTAGTTCATAATGGAACAGTTCTACAATAAGAAAAAGCTTAAAAAAAAGAAATACCTTTCAAAAACTTTATCATGAAAAGTATGTGGCATATCATGGCTGAAAGAATGTTTTGTATTTAGAACATCTTTGACCCATTCTATAAAATTATAGAGTCTAAGAATTCCTGCATCGGCTGTATTCTCTATAAAATTAGCATCTTCTATCGAATCACCAGAATCAGCTAGACAAAGACGTGTTCCATCAGCTGAGAATTTTTCTACAGACTCGGCAAGTGTTAAAAAGTTGCCCTCTGACTTGGACATCTGTGTGTTCAAACGGCAATTAAAATTTTATATAAACATTTCCAATTATTTATCAAAATTTTTAATGATTTTACCTTTGCTGAATTCAGAAGCAGATGACCATTTGCTCTTATTCCTTGCGGCCACAATTCTGGTTGATTTGGCCATATCGCTGTATGGTTGTAGAGAAAATATGTAAGATGATTTTGTACCAGATCTTTTCCTGACACTCTCAAATCTACTGGATACCAATACTGAAATTCGTGTCTCATATTGTCTAAAACTGTTTTCTCTATATCTGTATTCGGCGGTTTAGCATTTTTGAAGAAGATATAATCCCACACTTCCGAAGTCATCTGAGAGGCTCTAATGGAAACAATAGATAAAGCGTTATTAACTACTTATTATTAAGTACAAATACTACAATATTAACTTTATTTATATTTTTACTCTATTCCATATGTATTAGGTTTATCCCCTTTAAAAGTTCCTCCTTGCAAAAAATGTGCTATGGTATAATAAGCCATGTAAATAGTAGAATCTGACAGAGACTCTATCAACCAGCTTTCATCCCATGGTAATTTAGTGCCTGAAAATATAAAAGTCAAAAAAATATTTATAAAGATAAATAATTTTAATTATTTCGTGATTATTTACCCAATCCATATGTTCTGGAACATGCATGTTCATGTAACCAGTCCAAGCACACAAGAAAATTCCTTCGAACTTCATCGTGAAAAGTATCAAGATTCTTCAAAGCCTCAAGCGTTTCCTTCTTCCAACTTTCTTCACCGTAATCTAAATACCATTGATCACACAAGGCTACTACACATTCATCACTTGATCTTGAAATAATAGTTTTTTCTGGTTCATAATAGATCACTGCTGTGCCATTGTCAACCATTTCTTTTTGAATTAGTTTCTTAATATCCTGTATCTTTTTGCCTTTATATGGACCTACTAATAATACGCCATCATAAAATCCTTTCAAGTATGCTATTTCTTTTGCTTCCATGAGTTTAACTTTATCATTTTGGGATTGAATTTTTAACTGATCATATAACGTTACTGCTACTAAATTGCCAAGTTCTGGAACTTCGATGATTGGAATCTAATATATAAAGATATAAAGGTTTCATGAGATTCTTATCAATGTTTACAATTAAATAATGTATATAATATTTACTTACTGGATTATATGGTAATACCATTTCGTCAGTGATTCCATATTTTTCTCGAAATGGACGTTTCTTTTTTAAATCCATTAATGCAGCGTAATCATCAGGAGAATCACTAGGGACAGAAGTTACAATACCAGTACCCTTGTCCTCTTTTATTGTCAACATAGGTAATGCATAAATAACTTTATTAGATGTGAGAGGAGCTTCCAATTCCAATCCTAGTAAATCCTATAAAGATTTTTTATATAAAGATTCCGAAAATATAATCTGTTAAAAAAATAAACCAGTACTTTGCCCGTAAGTTTCTGAACAACATCTATCCTTCCTCCTTCTTTAAAGAAATCTTGATATGACATATTCCTCGCTGCACGTTCCGTAGAAATATATATATCCCCACATGCTAATTTATAAGCTATGTAATTCATATCTGGATGTACCCAGCAGTTTGTCTGACCATACATTGTCTCTGGTCTTAGAGTTGCAGCTACAAGGTAAACTGATTGATCGTTGAAATTCCTACAATATTCATATTTATTTTATAAATTAAAAAAACCTTAACAAATTGTGAAATAATAATGCAATATAAAAATCTTACTTGATTTTTTGAGGACATTGAACTTTCATTTTAATTAAAGTATATTCCTGTGGTCCAACACCTTCACCAGAGGATCTATCATGATCCATACATGGTTGACCATCTTTTGGTGAATAAATGGTATATCTTTTTCCAAACTTGATTTTATTTCTAGATTTTAAATGCTGAAACTGCCAGCGTATAAAAGAATCATAAAACAGATTTGCATCTGTTGTAATAAATGTTCTTCGCCAATCCACCTAGAATATTTTGAAATCAAATACATAAAATGCAAAAAATTACGCACAAAAATAATTTTCATTTTTTAGCTTACGTGAAGACCGATAGATTTTAAATCTTGCACAGCAAGCGGTGGAAAATAATCCAACCAATATGCAGCGTTAGCAAATTTCTTAATTTCCTCATCTTGTAAGCCAAGACTTTGCATAATTTGCCATTGATATTTAGCTGAACCTGCCTTGGCAATTGCCTTGCTCTGAAATTAATGTCAGCCAATCTATTTTTTTTTTTTTAAATTATCTAGTGTATATTTTTTTACCTTTTTTCCTTTGCTCTTATCTGTTAATACATCATTTGCTTTTTCTTCGATTATTTCGATTTCTTCAGGAAACTTAGGTGGATACCCATATATTTCTATTTCCCTCTTTAATTTATCAGCACATGCTTTAATAGGCATACCAGTACAGTGGAAACCAAAAGGAAAAAGTACATTTTTTCCTAAGAGACGATTATATCGAGTGGCAAACTAATAAAAATAAATACATATATCTATTAATTTATATATTTAAGACAAATAAAAATAATAGATAACAATGACATATAAGAATATAAGATAATAAAATTATAAAAAAAGATACAGATGTATACCTCACTCTTGGATAATGAGAAAGCATGACCAAGATGAAGACGTCCATTCATATAAGGATATGGAAAGGTTGCAAAAAACTTTTCATCTGGTGATTTTCCATCGTAAAAAGATGCATCCACTTCATATATCTTTGCAGCTTCCCATCTCACTTGTATATTTTTCTCAATTTCTTGAAGATATTCAACCTTAAAAGTTCCTTTTCTTTCTGTTGCCTAATATATAAGATATATACAGTAAGTATGTACATGTACATATACACATATCATGTATATCGTGTGTGTGTGTGTGTGTGTGTGTGTGTACACATAAACATCCAGGATTTATTTTCAGAGGTTTTTATCAATTCTATTAACATAAACAATAATTTTTTGCATCAATAAATTGCTTTCTTAAAATTTAGAAACCTTCTCGTTTTTATTTTACATGAGAAAAACATTAGATTTTGTAAATCATAGCTTTAATTTTATCTTTTTTTAATTTTGGAAGGATTTGAATTCCTCTTCTCCTTTCTTGGACACATTCACACAGTACATATATAATATTGACCTGTTTATTTTAACTGAATTTATTGCATGGTTCATCTTTGTTTTTTTTTCCACATTAGTGGAAAAAAAAGAGAGAAAAGATGAAGCTCAGTTAAAATGAACAAATCTAGTCAATACTTGTTGATAATATCTTACTGCTCGTGTAATCTCTATATAAATACACAAGAGGATCTGTATAAAAAACACAAGATACATGTTCTGCTTTTTACATTCGCATGTTTGACTGATGTAGTAGATTTCACTTAATTTTATTTAATAAGCATATATACTTGCCATTTTAATTGTTTATTCTAAATAGCAATAATTAAATATTACATATGTTCACGAACTGTATAATGTATAACACGAGGCAGCACACCGATGTTCCTAACCTTAACCGTTACCGACCACTATCACACTCAACTCGCACGAGGCAATTGCATCAGGCGAAATCATGATGCAAGAAGCAAGTGTTTGAAGCATGTGTTTCTGATGGCGACAAACTCTCTCCCATAAAATCCCTCCATATATCCGATGAAATTTGAATCAAAATGTATACGCGAAATTCGAATAGGAAAATATATTATTCCTAGCAAATAAAAATGGATTGAAATGGATAGAAATGGATTTGCGTCATTGTCGAATTCAAATTCTTGATTTTTTTGAATCCATTGTAATTCAATTTAAAGTTTAAAAATTCTTTGAATTCATTGTAATTCATGAAGTGGAATTGAAACTACGAAATTCCTGTTGTCAAGTCAAAAAAGATTTAATCCATTTTAATACATGAAACAGAATTGAAACAACAAAGTGCTTCCTATTTTTTCAATCAAAAATGTATTAAAATGAATTAAAATGGACTAGAAATTTTCAATTTATGTTAACCTTATTTCCAGATGTTGAGAATCAATTATTATTCCAGCAATTATTATTCCAAGTTCTTTATTGTTAAAATCTAGTTTTTTTTACAAATTAATATCACCAACAAATATATTATAAAAGTTAACTTGTAATTTCATTTTGAATCTCGGCGGTAAGAGAAAATAGTGGTTCCTTCTCGCCTGAGGCGAGAATACGTTACGTTAGACTATACATTTTCAGTACTGGCAGTGAATTTACGAACACAGCCCGAGTGGCGTGCGCCAATCGGACGACTCGCGTGCGATTGGTTGGGAGGGAGGCGGGAATGCTTGTCGGCGCGACGGGAAGGGCGCGAGCATGGCGGCTATTGTAGAAGAAGCGAAGAGAAGGATGTTGCTACGAGGTAAAGAGGGATATTTCCCGCTTGACTTACCAAAGGCGGTTTATTTGATTTGATTCTCCCCGCCTTACAATGTCATGAATATAAAGGAAACAAATAGCTAATATGGTTACAATTATGATTACAATTCGGTTAATATATGTATATTTATGTGTGAATAAATGTCATTGATGACGCAAATATACTATGGTGATGATATGGATCATGGATACGGTATGAGCACAGCATAATTATATTTAAATCGACTTTTACTTTGGTATTTAGAATATATAAATGTTAATAGTGTGAGTAATTAAATAAAATGGAAAAGTATAGAAAACTAATGAGTATATGTATACATGTGTATCGATAAAGTCATACAGTAATAGAGATTCGTGGTATATACAATCGGATTAGATCTTGAACTCTTATTTTTTTAAGTTAATTAAATAAATTCAAACAAATTTTGCTATAAATATTATCACAATTTAGTGGTCGAATAAGACATCCGTCCAGCGGGGAATTCAGATTCGATCTCTGGTTGAGGTAATATTTTTTGAAATAAAAATTTCAATTTACAGGTTTCGAATTATTATTAAAATATTAATGGACAGTTAGACTTGGCATTCGACTATTAAGAGAATTATGAAGAGATGATACATAGATGATCGTATATGCCACAAATCTTTATTGTCTATACAGAAAATTAAACTAATGAAAATTAATGAAAATTAAAAGAGTAAAATTAGAATACATATACTTGACGAATTTCCATTGCAGATCTAATAATAACAAATAATGTTAAAAATAAGTACAATGTTAATAACGAAAAATATGGCACTGCAATAATCAGAAACCTATATCCGTTTGGCGTGAATATAAACTTTATCGTTATCATGTTGCTGATAAGAAAACAGACATTACAGTTTTATTCGCGTTTGCTGATTGCTCATTGGAATTCCGATGTAGCACCTGCTGTATTGTGCACAGATAGAAAATACGCATGCTTACGTTATAATTCACTTCGAAAAATTACTCAACGCTTTGCGATATGTTATGTTGTAATCAACGTGTATAATATCTCAATCAATATTTGTGAAAAGTCAAATGATCGGTCAATGTGGATAAAACGTAAATTTTTAAAAGATATTTGAAAAAAAACCTTTGATTTATTCGTGTATATGTGCGTGTATATGTGTTAAAACAATTAAATATTTTGTATAATTTTATTATTTAATGAGATGAAGTTACTGGACTCATTATTGTCGATTTTGATGATACATCTGTATTTTATAAAAATATGTCTGAGCGTCGACATGAAAATTCTGAGCTTGTGCATAGCTCAAAATACTTGTGAAGATTGTTTAGAAGCAAATTCAGCCTGTGTTTGGTGTAGCGATTGGGTAAATTTTTTGTATTTTGAATATCAAAAACATATGAAAACTTTCTTTAATATGTTGAATAATTCATTTGAATTCAGGATCTTAGAAGTTGTACATAACACGATAAAAACACTTGAAAGAGCAAAATTTTATCTTTCTTGTAAAAGTAGATATACTATAATTGATAACATAACAAACAGATGTTACTAAACAGATACGTTATTAAAACATAAATAGATATGTTAATAAATAAATAAAAATAGATAAACTATATTTATTTATTTATATCTTATTAAATCTCTAACGAGATATAAACGAGAGTAAGAATAAAATTGACTAAACATAAAATTGGCTTTCTTATTGATTATTATATCTTATTAAATTTAAATCTAATCTCAATCCTAATCCAATCTGATACAGACTTAAAAGACATTTGTATTTTATATATTCATTCTTAATCTCTGCTGTCATATGTTAATATATAATTTAACTTAATTTCTTTTTTAGCTTAATTTTATAAACTTTATAAACCTAAGTGGTGACCATTCTATGTTTTAAATTTTTGTTAAACTTTTGAACCTGCAGAATGATTTAATTGAATATAATGCGTAATCGTAATCTGGCCTCTTTTTCCGCAATTGAATCTTAGTCATACTCAAATTCCACATACGGAAAACCAAGATGTAATATACTGGAGCGTCTACGCGCATTTGGTTGTCCGGATACGGAAATACGCATGGCGCCTCTGGAATCACTTCGAGTGCTAGCAAATGTGGATTTCCAAGACGTCTCGAATACCCATACGATACATCCAGTGCAGCTAAGACCGCAGAAGTTGCAACTTAAAGTCAGACCGCGTTCCAGTCAAGTCATCACCCTTCAGTATAGGCCAGCTAAGTAAAAATCTCAATTAACAATAAGTAATAAAATAAAGTAATAAAAATTCTCATTATTAACAGTCTCCATATGGAGCTGATTACATAAATGACAAAATTTATTTAAAATAAAGTAGTTTCATTTCATTACCACGTTACGTTAGAGATTATTAAATTAATTGTATTAAAGAATTATTAATAAGTGTAACGTAAATGCGAAAGATTGCGTTTCTAAATCAGAAAAATTATCATCTTACATAATTACAGAATTGTATTTTCCAACTAATATCACTAATTTAAACCATTAGTAACATTACATTATTATCAAATATCAAAATAATGTACCGTTATGTTATTTAAATAAATACTTATAATAATACTGTTATTACATAGTTATTACATAGTTTAAACAGATGACGCTTTTTAAATAAAACATATTAAATTAATTAATAAAAAAATTATGAAACAATAGCAACAGATTTTCAATTTGACAATATATATAACAAATTCAATTTTTCCTATTTGCTTTGTTTTATAATCCAGTGTTTAGATTTTATCTAAAGTGCTACTATATTGTAACGTTGTGATAATATCGCTGTAATGTAACTGCAAAATTTGTGCTCTGATAAAAATATGGTTCTTTTATGAAAATGATATTTTTTTACTTTCTTTGCATACGTAATAAAAATCAAACTTTAATTAAATAAAATAAAAAAGAATTCCGATTTTCAATTTGTAATTTATTAAATATGCAATTTGCATTAAAAAATTATAAGAATATTATTTTTACATTTCAAGAATTTATCTTTAACTAATTTTATATAAAGAAGTTGTAAATATATGAAAATTATAAGTTTTTATTTCTTTCATTATCTAAAGAAATAGTGTGTTTTCATCAATATTAATAAAATGCAATATTTAGTTTCCAAAAATAAAGATGTTCTTCTTTAGAGGACTTATATCGGCGATATTTCCTCTGCACATATTTTATGATCTTGTCATTTGTTTATAATTAGAAATTATCCACTGGATCTCTATTATCTCATGGATCTCACGTGGTCGATGAAGGATGATAAGGAAACTTTGGTGAGATTAGGTTGGAAAATAGCTAATACACTGGGTTCATTTACTACGAATTTTCGCCTCGGTTTCGGAAGCTATGCCGATAAACCTTTGATGCCATATATTTTTCCAAGGCACGAAGAAAAGTCCATGCAAAAGCGAAAATGCAATTTGCAAGCCGTTATATTCTTTCTGGCATCATTTGAAACTCACTGACAACGTATCAAGATTTATTCACGAAGTATGTCATGCAAATTAACTTTTATTTAAAGGGATGCTGAACTTGTCTGTATTACAGAACAAAAATGCGATATTTTTGTATATTCAATTTATTTTTGTCTTCATTTTAATAATTATAAATTCATTTATCAATTATAAATTAATTAATTATAAATTTGAAAATCCTTTTCCACAATTAAAGTTTATGTTTAATATATATCTATAGCATATGAGCTTTGAGATTAAGAACGAGAAAAACTTTTTAATTCAGATCTTTTTTACTATGACATCCAGAGCTGATGAGTCATTATTATAATTTTATTATATATATATATATACATGAAATTTAGGTAAATTACAGCTCAGTGACTGGTAATGTGGATAATCTGGAAGGTGGTCTCGATGGGATTGTACAAGCGATCGTTTGCGATCAACAAATAGGATGGACTCATCAAACACGGAAGCTAATGTTAATAGCAACCGATGGACTCTTACACTTTGCTGGTGAAGGAAAAGTAAGAAAAAAGATCAAAAAAGGAAATTGAAAAATTATATGATATAAATTAGCATATTTTTAGCTAGGAGGTGTAATAGAACGTCAAGATTTTCAATGTCACATCGACGAACGTGGACAATATTCTTTCGCAAAGAAGTATGATTATCCATCTCTAGCAGAAGTTTCTCGATTGTTACGTGAACACAAAATTAATTTGATCTTTGCTGTGACGGAAGATCGTCGTTACGAATACGAATTAATTGCCGACTTACTGAAAGAGCAAGCCAGAGTCGCCACTTTGGCATATAACAGCTCCAACATTCTTGAGATCATCGAGAGTGCTTATCACGAAATAGTGAGTAAAATAGTATTGCGTGATAATTCGACTGGTCCATTGCATCTTAGATACTTGTCAACATGTGGAAGTAAGACAAATGTGGAATTGAATACATCTGAGTGCGATGGTATACAAGAGGGTCAAGTGTATGAGTTTAAAATTGTCATATCAGTTGACGATTGTCCGAGAAATGAGAGCCTCTGGGTAAGTTATATTTGCAACGCACATTTTTTACTATAGTTTAATTTCTTTAAAAAAAGAAAAAGATTAGACAATGTCATATTTTATGCAGATTTTACATTACTATTTCGTAAAAAATAATTATATTTAAGAAGTAAAATTTTAAATTTATATTCTTAAAAAATAAATGCTTGTTAAAAATATTATACACAGAGTAAATTTTTATAGCATTTTTTAAAAATATGCGTTTAAGAAAGCACTTTCTAGAACTTCTTATAACTAGAAGAAATTAAAGAAAAAAATTAATTCAAAGAAAAGGATAATCCTCAAACAGAACAGAAATCTCTAATGAATGTCGGATTAGATGTCAATAGCCATGAATATTCGTAACTTTCATTAGATGTCTATTGATCATCCATAAATCTTCATTAGATGTTTATGTCTATAGAAGTATGGATCAATAAATATTTTGTACAGTTTTAAAAATGACTAATAAATATTAATTCTTTTATAAGAATGTTACTAAGTAAAACAATAATTAAATAAAATATCAATAATTTTTTAATATATCTTCATAGCTGAAATACTAAATAAAACCACTAATATTGATACCAATGGAAGAGAAATGTATGAACTAAAATTAATGTCATTTATTCATGTTCTTACTCGAAATGATTGTCCATGTTATTTTTGAATTATTCTTTTCTTTGAATTTTTATTAAAACTAAAAAAAGAAATTATCATCAATTGCCTATTTCTGCATAAGATTAAAATTATATTAACGTAAATTTCTTGTGATATTTAGTTTATTATGTTTTACTAGAGACAAATGGTAATAATCGATGATGCGTTAGCATCTGAGGCATCTGAGGTACAGATCGAAGTCGAACTTTTGTGTGGATGTGATTGCAAAAATGTAAAAAGTTCGTATTGCAAACACGGAATCAATGAATGCGGTATATGTAAATGTGACTTTGGATGGTCCGGTAAGAGTGCATAATGTTGTTTCTTTTTCCGTTTTACTCAAAATATGTATCTTTATTTTGTCTTTTATACATATTAGCTGCGTAAAACTTTCCTTTGCAGGAGATACTTGTGATTGTGACGAAAGTTTCTCAATAGAAAACAGATTACAATGTACCAATGGTACAGAGATCTGTTCGAACAGAGGCGAATGCATTTGCGGTATTTGTAGTTGTGACAAGGGATACAACGGCCATTTTTGTGAATGTTCCCCTTGTGACAAGGTACGATAAGCAAATGCGAGATGCAAAGCGTTATTAAATGAATACGAAAAATGTAACGTGATAAACTGTTAAACTTGACAGATAATAAAGATAGACCGAGCATGTTCAATATCAACCAACAATACTTTGAAAGAGAATATTAGGTAGAAAAGAAGAGAAAACAATTGCCGTGTCTCTTCTCTTCTCATTTTTATACATATATGTATACGTGATATGTCTGTAACTGTCCAGCTATCTTCATATTTTTTTCATTAGAAAAAGACAAAGATGATTGCCTTCTCTCTTCTTCTACATAATCTTCTGTTTCTGATTTTGCTTCTTATACTCGGTTTATTTTGATATTTACTTAATAGACCGATGGAATTGAATGTGGCGGTCGAGGCACATGTGATTGCGGTGTTTGCAATTGTTTAAACGGATGGGAAGGCAGTGGCTGTCAATGCCTTTCTGGCGACGAATTTTGCATTGCTCCTGGTAGTAAAGAAGTATGTGCTGGACACGGAT